CAGGGGCCTCCCTGATGGTGCAGGGGTTAAATTCTCAGTGCTATCAAGCTGTCTCTAGCCACTATGGCATGAGTTTGATCCCTGGCCAGGGAGCTGACCCACATGGTGCAACAGACCTCTCCTGTTTCCCTGCTGCTCCTGTGGATTTCAGTAAATCTGCCTGTTCTGCTACCCCACTCTGTCCCTGGTGAATCCTCTTAACTCCCGCACCTCTGGCCTATACCCCAGTTCTTGTATGCGTAAGTAAATAAAAAAATAAATCTTCAAAAAAATTCATACAAATAAATCTTCAAAAAATTCATACAATTCATCATATGTTGATGAGTCTAGTAGTGACTGATTTAAAGCCTCTTCTAATAAATACTAATAATTAATACTTGTGTATGACAACTTTAACAAGTACTATCATCATTAGTCTCAATATCTTATCAGATTGTTCACTGAATTTCTCAGTAGAAGCCAGTTTGTAATAAATATTATTGCAACACATTTCTCTAATTAAGATTATACTTAATGTTAAGATAAGACTTCTATTTTAAAGAGGTTAGGATAATTATTAGTCACATTGCAAAAGGAGTATGATGAATAAAAAATATCCAAATGAATAGAATATGGAGAAATTTAAACCTTTTAATTTATGTTGCTATTGTTTATTTAAACATGGGGATTGAATGAAAGAATTTTAGAAAAAGTCAAGGAATGTCAGCAAAGATGTTTATAATTTCAAAGAAGATAGATCCTGAACCATATTGTTTCCTCCCAATTGTTATATTCATACATATTTGGAGGATAATATATCCTTGGAGAATCATTGTTAAAGAAAACAATGGCATAGATTTTGACAAGCAGAAGTTGAAAAGTTGATGCATTTTGTCACATACATATTGATAACTAGGCTAAAGTAATTGTGATTCTTTCCCCAGTTGGTTTCACACATTCTATTTTAAAAAGCTTAGATTCCGTTGAAGTTAATTAATTTCATATTGATAAAAATATTATTGACTTGTACTGTTGATGTTTTTAAGCTCAGCTAATGAATTCAGATCACACTGCTTTTACTGTCATGGTGCCTGAAATGAGGACATAGAGATACATTCCATTTTCCTTAGTATAAACTAAAACAGCATTGTAGTCATTTGCATGTAAAAAACTGCAGAAATAAATATATCATAGAGCTCAAGCTCAACACTCGTTACAGATATTTCTTATTGCTGTATGCATACCTCATTTAAATAATTTTATTGAGGTATGACTGAGATAGAATAAGCCGCACATACTTAACATGTAGAACTTAGTAAGCCTGGAGATAAGTAAACAAACATCCAAGAAGCCATCACCACAATTGATCCCAAAAACATATCCTTCATCTCCAAAACTTTCTTCCAGCCCTCTTATTATTGCTATTATCATTATTTTGTAATAAATTCACTAAAAATAAGATCTACCCTGTTAGCATATATTTGCGTAAACCAGTTATACTAGTCAAAGGACACAGTTTCAGTTACGGCAGATGCATCAGTCTTGGAGAGCTAGTCTGCACCATCATGCCCATAGTTAATAATAAATCATTTACAATGTGCTTCTGCAGCTACTGTCCTCAAGAAGCAGAATCTGTTTCCCTATACCCCAAATAAGTTCTTTGCTTATGCAATTTGCTTTGACCCAAAAGACATTAGCAAACATAACCCAGAGGGCTGAACTGTGCTTAAAAATCGGGATTTATCCATTCCCTTGCTGCATATGGGAACCCTGCAGGGGTAATATATAGGCTTTTTATAAAAGAAAAGTTATAAAGAGGATGGCAGAGAGGTGTCATTCAAATCACATCACATCAATGACAACTGTTGATGCTGACCTTGAATATTACCTGGCTGAAGTAGTGTTTATCATTTACCTTTACTATAAAGTTACTCTTTTTACCCCTCTTTTCTGTACTCTTTGGAAACAAGTCAAGATGCACAGCACATACTTAAGGAAGGGAAGTTACATTCCAGCTCCTTTAGAGCAAAATATCTGTTTTTTTTTTTTTTTCATATATGAGGGAAATTTGTATATTATTTTGATTCACTTTTTTTTTTTCAAACATTTATATCCATATGAACTTATGGACATCTATTTCATTCTTTGGGTTACAGCAATACTTCTTATTTGCTGGCTCGAGTTTGTGCCGTTGGGAATACTTTCAGTGGTTCTTGTGGATTGTTTGTGACCATTAGCTAATTTCTTTTAGCACCTCCTTACATACTGAATACTACACGGCACTCTAGACTACTCAGATAGGTTTCCTGCCCCAGTCCTATTGCAGATTCCCTGAATTGGAGAATGATATTAAAAACCAAGATCTTAGCACTTTCTGGTTTCTATTGCAGTACCTTGTTTTAAGTCATCTCGGATGCCTGAGCAAGCACATGTATGTTTGTGCACCTAGACATGTATATATAGCAATAGGTATCTATATCTCTATCAAGTTAAACATGAGTTCATACAGCATTCCCCCATGTTAGAATGCTGAAACTACTCTATATGGAATTGAGCAGTTAAGACAGTGAATGGAGAAGGGTGGGATGCTCTCACATTGGGAGTTGGAGGTTATAGGGGGCTTCCCTGGTGGCCTAGGGGCTAAGTCTCAGCACTATTACTGTTACGGCCTGAGTTTGATCCCCGGCCAGGGAGCTGACCAACATGGCGTAGCAGACCTTTCCTGTCTCTCCTGCTGTTCCCCTCAGCAGTGTATTTCAGTAAATCTGCCAGTCCCCCACTCTGTGGTGAATCCTCTAACCCCCAAAACCTCTGGCCTATACCCCAGTTCTACGCAGAGATAAATTAGAAAAAAATTAATCAGAAGTAGGCGAGAGTATTGCATGTGATAATGGGTAAGAGTTGGGGACTTCAGTATGCAGAAAGAGCATAAAAAAGACTCATGACTTCTAGCTTAAGTACTTGCATTATTTGTATGAGCAATCAACCCACTGTACTAAATATGTCCTATAAATAAAGGTAATAAGCAAAGCAAACTAAAAAAATAAAAAATCGTGAAATATATATTGAATGTATTACCAAGTAACAGCAGCAGAAGAGGGTTTATCTCTCCTGAATAATTTGATAGAATAAGGAGTTGAAGGTGAGAAAAACTTTTGAATTACCACTGATAACAAATATTTCAAGTACTAATCAATTTCATTTTAAACATTTATGTAAAAAGAATATTTTTATAAAAACAACATGCGTGCTTCATAATAAATGGAGATGATTAAAAATCAATTTCCACGAAAAATGTAGCACTGTCTTGTTTTTAACTTTTCCTTCTGATTTGTCTTATATTATATTTGAACAGCAATTTATTTCCAAACTCAGCTTCATTAGTTCTGTCTTCCAGTATGTCATTTTACTCCATCTAAAGATGACCATCTGATTCCCTTAGGAGTTGGGAATTTGACCATATGAATAGCAGTTCAAGCTGTGTGTTTTTAACTTTTCACATCCACATTGTACTATCTCCTTTAAAATGACTAATGACTTTATTTGACATGATAATGTTGACCAGTATAAGAAAATAAAACTTTAGAGTGATATTACAAACTATCATTCTCCCTCAACTTAGTATTATCAATTAAAAACTAAATATAAAGGCAACATTTACATTCAGTTAGGTAAAATAAAATACAATATTGCATGGGACATACTATTATATACATACACATAAACCAATTATTCGCTATCCACTTGAAATATAAATTTAAGTGGGCCTCCTTTATTTTACCTTGCAACCCTTCTTCTATGCTGTCAGTTTACGAGTACAAGTGAATGATGAGAAGTTAATAGAACAAGTTAGAGCAGCAGGAAAGATTTACTACTGCACAAGAAGAAGATAAGATAGGAAAAATATATGAAGACTACTTAAACATTCTTAGTAAGCCATAATATTGAGGGGCCAATGGTTTCCATTTAACTGAAAACTATTCGCTCCCCTTGGGTTTTCACAAATATTTCTATGAACACTTTATAAAGGTCTCTTCCCACCCTTTCATGTCTTTTTCAACCTATTTTTTCTGCAAGCAATTGTGATCAACACCTACTCTATGCCTTCTCCATGCTGTTTTTGTAAATACATTAGAGTTACACATTGGAACACATCATGACTGACATAGTGATTCTGTATCTGTTTATAAACGTATGCCTTTGAATTCACATGATGTTTTTGAGCCCAATCTAAGTGGTGGAGGATTACCTTGTTCATATAAATAAGATTCACATATGATGCATGGCTGACTGCACACTGCTGGTAGGCACGTGACTACGCAATAGTCATGGGTTGAATCTGATCATGTGTAAATGTTACCTTTACAAGCATGTGCATCATCATGACCATTTAATTTCTTACATTAAAGCAAAAAAAGGCCCTGAAATCATAATTCTTAGCCTTATGATAGTGTTATTCCAGAGACCAAACTACTTTGCTTAGTGTAGAGTAAAAAAATATCATTTTAAACCAAGACATGGACAAGATTGCTCAAAACAAAGTCAGAAAAGCTGAGATAACCAGGAAATTACATTATGTTACAAAATGTCTGAGATGAGTGTGTGTGTGTGTCCGTGTGTGTGTGTGTTTAAAAAAAGACAATGTGACTCTATGTCTCTATCATTCTGTTTTTAAATGGTGAATTTTAGCATCAAAATAAATTTTTTATAGTTACCTGTTATTCTGTTATTGGTTGCATTTTATGCAAATGTATGCATATATAAAAACAATTCTTTTAAAGGCTGACAATGGTTAGATTGGATATTGATTTTATTAACATTTATATAGTATTGTTCTGAATACTTTATTATATTGACTTGAATATGACTTTCTGCAAAGCTAATGGAGATTTAAGCATTGTTTTCTATTTCTTTTGTAGGGAAGTATGAATATTGATCTAAATTTAAGTGAACACATGAGAATATTCTGACATAAAGACCTTTATATATTTTTGTTACTTGATCTATAAGACAGAACGTACCTGAAAGACATCCAGTGACTGACAGGAACAGAATTAGTTTCCAGGCAGAAGCCATCCTTGGTCACTAGGCTCCCGCGTCGAGGTGTGTCTAGCAGCTCTGATGTTTCTTCATTAAAGAATGCCCTGTTGACATAAAGAACAGTGTTCAAAAGCAGAGAAAGCAGACCGGCAAAAAAGCAAGTAAACTCCAACTCAAAAATCTCATAATAAAATTATTGATGGATGAATATCTGTAAAAAGGTCAGATGGATATATTCTGGTTATTGATAATAATAATAAAATTTTCATTAGAATTTATTTAATATACAACACAAAAATTTGGAAGAAGTGATAAACTTTCCTATCACATTTATTTATATTGAATGCTCCCTTACAGATAATAAAAACATCAGGTTCTAATGGGGATGATTTTTCCTCACAGGGAATGTATAATAGCTGTATTTATTACATTAGACAAATTATTGGACTAGAAAAATAGAGTAGAGGATGGAGTTACATTAATATATACTCCCCTGGTCTAGAACATAACTAATGATCAGTTAGCCAAGTGATTTTACAGATTGTGCCTGTAGCTCATCTAAACCTCCACAGGGAATTTTTCTCATTTAATTATTAATGTCAACTGCCTTTGTTTATAACTCCTGTGATTATCTGAACTGTGTTATATTTCCCTCCTTTGGTGACTTATTTCTCTCAGCAACTTTTGCTAGCTGGAACCTAAGGGAAATAAAGATTTTCATGAATATTTAACATATTTGTCTAATGCCATTTTATAGCAATAACCAGTGTAACCCATTAATATCCTTTATTTTTCCTGATGATAAACGTAAAAAAATTAAATTTGAGCACAGAACTTGTGAGAACTTGAAACATGCGTATTAGAAATTCCAATAATAGACAAGCAACTTCTGAGTTCTCAGTTACCAGTTAGCCAGCTTCATCCTTTGACCAAAGTGATTAAATTGAGAAACAATCATACAGTGTATTAATGATGTTTAAATAACAATTGCTTCTTGGCAACTGGTTCATCCCTATAGATTTAGCAGTTTAGATTATTTCCACCTTTTAGGAAGCATCTTAAAAATATAAACAAGCATTTCCTCCCCTACTTAAGCCATAATTTAGTACACTCATTGCTGGAGAAGAAATCCCTGAATAACGTGAATTCCATTTTCTTTATATTTTTACCATCTACATTTCGATAATATTTTTAATAACATGGTTATGGATCAGTAATGGAGAAGAAAGTTAAGAGTTAATGGTTACTCACAGCTACTCCCTTCAAAACATTATATTTTCCCCATCATCTTTTTTTTCTTCCAAGTAAACATCAGGAATAAATAAAGCCTCATGCACAAGAATGACCTCATTTTTTCTTACATTTCAAAACATGTTTTATTGTTTATATACTGTTTTGTACCAGAAAAAAAAAACCAGCACATCACACATAATAATTAAGAGACTTAAAGTTGGTAGAACCACAATTACGTTTCATGAGAACTGCATATTTCATCTGAGGCAAATACTTTACTTTTGAGTGGGGCGGGGCAGGAAGGCTGACGAGCACATGGATAAATAAGATAATGTCACAGAGTGATACACACTATGAAGAAATAAACACAAGCTAGGGGCTCCCTGGTGGCACAGGGGTTAAACTTCAGCTCTATGAAGCTGCCCACAGCCACTGCAGCACGAGTTCGATACCCGGCCAGCGAGCTACCCACAGGGCGCAGCAGACCTCTCCTGTCTTGTCTGGTGCTCCCCTCAGCAGTGGATTTCAGTCAATTTGCCTGTTCTGCTCCCCACTCTGTCTCTGGTGAGTCCTCTCACCTCCCGAACCTCTAGTCTACACCCCAGCTCTTAAATCGTAAATAAATAAATCTTAAAAAAAAAAGAAAAGAAACACAAGCTAAAGGACAGTGAATTACTAGAGGACAGAGAGCTATTTCAGTCCAGATTCACATATTCCTGATGAGACAGCCGCTAGGCGCAGTGGGTTTTCAACACACCATTATGGAATATTCCATATGTGCGTATTCCAGGCAGTTATTCAGTTCTCAAATATAAATAGTAAACTGAATTTCGTTGATAAAATAATCTATTTTTAGGTTAAAATTTCTTCAAATAAAAGAAGTGCATACATGTGTGCATGTTCATTTCCAAACATCAGTGCTTGGTCCTTGGGGTTTAAATGCAATAAAATAATAGTTTTCTCAAAAGCCATTCTTTTAAAGATATCTAAAGTACATTATTCTGTTTTTCTTTTCTCTCTGTCATAACATAAAAAGTAAATAAAAAAAATCCTTAGGATTCTGAGATATGTAAAATTTTATTATATGACTTTCTTGATAAAGGCAATCATTCTATGACTAAGAAAATCTCTGTATCTAGTGCTGCAATAAACATAGGCATGCAGGTTTCCTTTTGAATTAATGTTTTTGTGTCCTTTGGGTAGATACCAAGGAGTGGAATTGTACAAAAATAAAAAAATGGTGTAAAAACAGAAAATAAAAAAAGTAAAAAAATATCTGTATCAAAATAATAAAACAATGCAATTAGATATTTCAAGTTCCTACTACATACTAGTTTATATTATGATCAGCTAATAAATGTTACTAAAATGTTTCAGGATATGTAATTTAAATATTTTTATAAAAATTGATATTTGTACAAAGAATTTGTTGTTCAGTAACTAACTGAAATGTTAACTATTAACATTTTTTAATAGACCTTATTACACTGCTTAGAAAGTATGTTTATTTTATTTTTAAAGATAGATTTATTTATGCACACAAGATTTGGATGTTGTCCAGAGGTGGGGGGATGAGGAAATTCACCAGAGACAGAGTGGGGAGCAAAACAGGTGGATCCACTGACATCCACTGCTGAGGGGAAGCAGTGGGCGAGACACGAGAGGTCTGCTGTGCCATGTGTGTCAGCTCCCTGATTGGGGATTGAACTCACGCTGCAGCGGCTGCGGACAGATTCCTAGTGCTTAGACTTAACTCCTTCTGCCACCAGGGAGGCCCCTAGAATGTATGTTTATTATCATTTGTATTGAAACAGAAAATGCATCATAAATGCATCGTATTACTGCACAGCTTATTCTCGATCCAGTTGTAAAGCAAAGATTTCCTACAATCTGACCCCCCATAGCTATACATACAACAATCAGAATTATATTTATTTTATTTTTCTTATAAAGATTTATTTATTTATACAAGAAATACGGTACAGGCCAGATGCACGGGACAGTGAGAGGATTCATCAGAGACAGTGGGGAACAGAACAGGCAGACTGACGAAATACACTTCTGAGGGGAGCAGCGGGCGAGACAGGAGAGGTCTGTGGCGCCATGTGGGATCCTCACTGGCGGGCTGGATCGAACCACCGCCGCAGAAGCTGTGGACAGCTTCACAGTGCGGCACTCAACCACCTGCGCTACCAGGCAGGCCCAGAATTATATTTTAAAACATAAATCTCACTAGATTATTTTTCTGTTTTAGTACTTAATTCTTAAAATTAAATGCAAACCCATATATAATCTAGAATACAACACATATTATGTAGTCCCTATCTTTTTTCATTTCATCTGCTAGCAGTCTAGAATACATTTCTAACAAGTTGGCTTTCTTGTTACTGAAATCTGAGAAGTATCATTGTTCCCTCTGGCTGGACTGTTCTCCAATCATTTCTTTTCATACCAGATAATTTTAAATAATTAAAGACACTACTTCTTGGACCTTAAAGTTCTCATTTAAATAACAGGACTCCTGGGGCCTCCCTGGTGGCACAGGCGGTTGAGTGGAGCACTGTGAAGCTGTCCACGGTTCCAGTTCAATCCCCACTGGCCTCAGAGCAACCCACATGGTGAGCAGACCTCTCCTGTCTCGCCCGCTGCTCCCCTCAGCAGTGTATTTCATCAGTTTGCCTGTTTTGTTCCCCGCTCTGGCTCTGGTGAATCCTCTCACCCTCCCGCGCATCTGGCCTGTACTCCTGCTCTTGTATAAATAAAATAAATAAATAAATAAATAAATAAATAAATAAATAAATAAATAAATATTTAAAAAAATAAAATAAAATAGCAGGACTCCTTTTCCCATCATCCCTGTCACTGCTTTTCCGGACACTCTCCTGCCATCATGTTTTCTTATTAAACATCAGTGCTTGATGTTATGATCTTTATTAATTTAATTTATTAAATAACTCTCTCTACCTTCTACTAAGATGTGATATCCAAGAACTCTTGTTTGTTCATCTTTGTAGATCTAGCATCTAGAGCCATATCTGCCTGATTTTAGTAGGTATTCACTACGATTTTTTAAAAAAATATATTATTGATTAAACTAGAATCTCTGGGACCTCCTCTTTGGCGCAGCAGTTGAGCGCTGGGTTGCGAAGCTGCCTGCAGCCTCTGCAGTGCTGGTTAGATTCCCGGCTGCTCCTCGGCCACCGGAGGAGGGTCCCGCAAGGCGCGCAGACCTCTCCTGCCGCCCGCTGCTCCCCTCAGCAGTGTCCTTCGGTCCTTCTGCCTGCTCTGCTCCCCGCTCTGGCTCTGGTGAATTCTCTCACCCTCCCGTGCTTGACTGTGCCCAGTGCTTGTATAAATAAATAAATAAAAATAAATCCTAAAAAAAAGTAAAAAAATAATAAACTAGAATCTCTGGTAAGTAAATTACTTTACAAAAGATTTTATAAGAGGAAAATTAATCATCACTTCTTCGTAGATTTCCTTAACACTAGTAACAGCTACCAGTTATCGCAATCTACATGCCAGGTACTGAGTCATGCATTTTACCTACTCAAACACTATTAACTTGGCATCTCTTATTGATGAAGACAACTTACACGAGATCACTACTAATAAAAGGCAGAACTGGAGTAAAAATAATGTTGACCTTTAATGTAAACCTTTAAACACCTCTTAAGCACCTCCACAGCAATCTCTATGAATCCCTCCATAATATCTCTGATACATCTGGGATTGGAGCTGAGTTAATAACAAGTCATTTTAAAAATAATAAACAGGGGCCTCCCTGGTGGCACAGGCGGTTGAGCGCAGCGCTGTGAAGCTGTCCGTGGCCGCTGCAGCGCCGGTTCCATCCCCACCAGCCATGGAGCAA